CCTTGACTGCAGTTGATCCTCTGCAGTGTTTCTGTTATTAACAAACATCTTCCCCGATGCTTAGAAGCAACAAAACACTCTGTATTTCAAATGTGCTGCCAAAACAAGATGTTCCAGCAAGAAGATGAGCAGGATCTTGGATCATGTGAACTCCTAGAAATGAAGGCAGAAAAATGTCAGTGACAAAGTTAACTATGCACTTTTCTCAGACTTATTTTTCTCATTTATTTTTAATTTATTATTGAAATTGTACATATTTGTAACATAATGTAAAATTGTGAATAAAATTGTGTACTTTTCATCAATTGAAATTGCACTGATATTTTACCTCCTGTAGGAAAACGGGGTTGGGGGGCAGCATTTGTTTAAAGGGTATAGTCTAATTATATAGCATGGTGGGGTCTGACCAATGCCATAGCTGGACTGGTGTGCATGTATGGAACCACTGACTACTGGCTGTCATTTACTTCTTCAGTCACTGTAGCACCCAGAGAAGGAACTGGCTACCAACAAAAGAGGAACTATATGGGCACCCTGTGCTTTATGCTGTAATTTAGTTATATACAAACACTTGTTATTAAAGAAAGACATTGCAATGCCTGGTGTACAGTGTGTACCAGTAAATCTTAGGTGGTAGTGGTAATAAACACACCTTCACTGAAAGGCAGAACAGTGAACAGAAAACTGATGGTTTCAACAACATTTATATTCATGCTTTCCCAAGTAGATGCATTTTATGTTGTAAAATAAAAAACTGCTGATTTGTAAGAGTCAAGGTTATTGAACAGAAAATAATAGTTTATTAATTTTCTGTTGACACTTTATTATAATTTCTTTGCATTTTACTATGTAAAATTAGCAAGTTCTCTAGCTTTTCTATTGGTGCAAAGTATTAAAAATTTTAAAAATACCATTTTTAATTCTAAGTTTCCAATCTAATTCTTAGATAAAGGTTAGTCCCCCACCTGAAGTTCATTGGGATGGGGGAAGGAAAAACTGTAATACCAGTTGTATTCCCATAATATTTTATAGTGGCCATTAGCCCATTTTGGACATATATACATACAGTGGATATAAAATTTGGAATTTTCCAGTGCTCAAAATTAGAATTATTCTCAAATTAGCTACTTAGTCTGGATCAATTCCATTGATCTTAGGAAACTCAGGGCATAAGTTTGCAATTTATTTAAAACCCTCTTAGCATAAGAAACAAAGCAATCATCTACAACAGTCTAAATTTTATTTTTCATGCTTTGTGCTCTTAAAAAAAATCAATCTTATTTTAAAAACTTCCCTTTTTGGATCTCCACCCTGATTTACCTGCCCAGTGTCATTTGCCTAGAGGCTCTTGTGTTTACTGGCCCACTGCCCTAAATGCTGAAAATATTTGCCACACACTGTATATAATAAAGAAAGTACAAAATCATATATCGAACCTCAAATAGTAAAGGTAAGCCTAATAAAAATTAGATTTACAGTTCTAAGTCACATTGATGAATTACGTTCTTGCATTTTCTTAATTGCAGGCAAAGAAAAGATATATGAGAAAAAATCATCTCTACACTCTCCCTGGCAATAAACAGAAAGGACTAGAAGGCAGGGGAAGTGGAAATGTAGCAGAACCAGTGCATAATTAGGGAGTCAGGAGAATCTGTAAAACCCAATTACTTGTATATAATCTTATTCTTTGTCTTAAAAAGTGAATCAAGGGGATTGTTTTGCTGCTGCTAATGATGATGACGGTGATGATGATGTAGTTGAAAAAAGTGAGCTTGTATGTTTTCATGTGTTACTGTTATTTTTATGTGTTACTGTTTATGGTCATCAGATTCAATAATTCATAATATCAAACCAAAATATACAATATAAAATCAAATAATGTGATTGTTCCCTCCTCTCTGCCCCCCACCCAACACAGAAATATTAGAGAATGCATTATTTATTTTTCCCGTTATATCAGGCTTAGCATAGCTCTCTGCACACACAGGTGAGTTATGATTAACAATGCATGCCATATGTAAATCTTTGGCCCAAAGGAAACCCCATTTCCATAGAGATTTGGTTCAATGTTTCTGAATGTGTCTCTTGACAACTGGGCCCTCACTAGGGAATTTATTATTCAAGATTACACTTTACTGCCTAAAGAAGTCCCCTAATCATAACTGCATTCTCTAGTGCAACAGAGGAGAAAAATTAACCAGTCATTAATAAAGAGTCATGCTTATATCTTACATTTCACTCCTTCAGCACTGAATTTTAAAATAAGCTTCAAAGGTACTGAAGAAGAAATGGCTACACAGAAGCAGAAATGAAAATTGTATATTTGGTTTTTGCAAACAGTGTCAACCCTATCAGCATATTATCATCAGGGAATCTGGGGTCAGCCTGCAAGTTGCTCGTCTTCATCATCATGGTTTTATCCCTGTTCTTCCTTAATTAAGGAATTCACTCTCAATCACGTTGGAACCTTGTATATTGAAAGCCTACTACACGGAAACTTTTTGCTAGGGACTACAGTTATAGGTGTGAAAAAGGCCCCATGGTGTCTCCATTTCATCAGGAGAGTCATGTTATCAACCTAACCAGCTGAGTACTTGCTGGGATGCTGCCTGTTCTATGAAAGGAAGTCTAGAATGTCCAGGGCAGGAGAAAGGATTGCAAGGGACGGCTGGCAAGCTCAATATCAACTGGTGTCACAGGCTCTGCTATACATCCCCAAACAAATAGGACTCTTATTCTGACATGCATAGAAAAAAAAATATTGGAAGCAGAATTTTCTACAGTCAAGGGAAGAGTTGAAAAGAAAAAAAATATATCTCACCATTTAATCTTATTAAATTATGTCTAAGAGCGTCATCTCACAAGAGCTCCATCACTGCAGTCATTTAATAAATTTCTTAATGGAAAGCAACCTCACAAGTAATGACTCGTTCTCCATCGACCCTAGTGTTCACGGCACACAGGACATGAGAGTCATCAG